GGCAGCGGCGGCTGCGTCAGGTGCATCGTCTCGGCGTTGCGCTTCAGCAGCTCCTTCTGCTTGACCAGGTCCTCCATGGCCGGGTAGCTGTACTCGTGCTTGGAGGGCCGGTCGCGCGCGAACTGCACGTACGGGTACTCGGAGGCAGCGCTCTCGTCCGACAGCGGGCCGGTGGGAGGCGCCGAGCCGCCGCCGCCGCCGGCCGCCGGCACGGCCGCTGCCGCCGTCGGGCCGAACGCCATGCGGTGGAGCAGCGCCGACTGCGGCGAGGCGGCCGTCTGTCGCGACACGGACGAGTCGGAGGAGGAGCGGCTGTCGTACCGGTCCACCGGCAACTCCAGCGTCTGCCGGCACACCACAGCGACGGTGAGCGGACGGTAACGGGGGTGCGAACAGTAGGGGTGGTTGTATGGTCAGCTCAAGACATCTCAAACGCAACAACATAGGAGGTGGGCACAGCGTGCAGACAGGCCACACGACCAGCTGCAGACAAATACACGCACTCATGAATAGACGGCAGATACTGCAGTGGCAAGAGCCGGGAGTGGGGCAGGCGTGTATAAACTGACTGATTCGCTGACTTGACGGCGAAACAGGTACTGACTTCAGAGTACACTTCGCAGTTGTCGTATGGAAACACTGACTGAAACTGTCAAGGTGTTTTACCAAGATACGCACACTACTCCCATACTGAATCACCAACATCAATTCCTCTACCAAAGTCACATTATATTACGCCGCATTGATCTGTCCGACGCCGGACACATTCCACAGGACGCCGCTCTACCGACGACCTGCAGGCGGCGACTGCAGCTGGGGCGCGAGGCCTTAGGTGGCAGCACGTGCCCGTATCCGGCTCACCCAGACAGGCGGCCGCGGGGTCACGGAGAACGCCCACGCCCGCTGAATGGGTCCGCCGCACAGCCGTGGCCGTTGCATCACACGACAACAGTCAGCCAGACTGTTCAGCGCTGGGTACGCCAGTACAAATACATGACGCGCAACCGAACTGCGAGGACCTCGTCATCATCGTTCGTTGGGCGCTGCTGAAGCGATGAGACGCTTCAGGCGCATGTCACAGAGCGGGGGAAACGATCAATGAACGGCTTTGAACCTGGGCCCGACGCTGGGGCGGCGACTCTGCGAGCTACCACGGCCTCTGAACCAGCTCCCGGACTCACCATGAACACATCATTGTCTCCGAGATCTGGCCGGGTGACCGAGGGAGGCGGTGGCGGCGGGGGTCGGCCGTGCAGCGGCGGCGGTGGCGGCGGCGGTCGGTCGTGCGGCGGTGGCGGAGTGACGTACAGCGGAGACGAGTCCGAGTCGGACAGACCTGCGGCGGACCGGGCGGCCGTCAGCAGCGGACACGGACGGGAAACAGCACACACAGCACACAACACACACACAGCGCACAACAAACAGCACACTCGGTCACAGCTTGGAGGGGGAGCACCGGGATGGTGGGGATGGAACTAGGGAAATGGGTCACCTGCATCGCAAATCAATATCAGCCTAGTGATGAAGAATGTCATCCTGACTGCGCCCTGACATCGTTTTACAATGTTCAGTTTTCACTGAGAGTGAAGGGTGTGAATTAGGTAACAGTCAGAAAATCGCCATCAATTTCGTTCTACAGTGCGAGCCACTGCATGTAAGACACGCACAGGACGCTGGAAACGGAAAACAAAAAACGCCGCCGTGTGCAATATGCATCAACCATTTTCCCGGCGATTCGACGAGTCAGTGTATCGGTGCGTTTGGAGGGTCGGGTCGCGGGGGGCAGCCGTCAGCAGCGCCGTGCCGGCAGCGCCACTTGGCTCGGCCGTGGGCGGCGGGCAGCGCGCGGGGGCGGCCGGTCGATGGCCGTCCGGCTGCACGGTCCGACCGGGCTGCCGCCGCCGGCCCGGCCACGCCAGCGCGCCGCCGGACCCCAGACTGGGGCCTACATACGACCCCCCGGTTACAGGAGTCGTAAATTGGTAGTGCGGAGTAGCTCAAAGGCGTTGTGCGTATTGCAGAGCTGATCGAGGCACTGACGTAATGCGGTAGCTTCTCTCTTATAACTATATTCTCATGAATGGATGGATGGATGGATGGATTGATGCAAAAAAGACACCCTTTCGACATTTGGACAAGGGTCTCGAAATGATTCGCGTAGGACCAAGGGTAGGAGTAAACACAGCAGGTTCCACTGATAACTGGAGGGGGCGGAGTGGTGCAGGCTTTCAGGGTTTACAAGTATCCGACCACTGTTTCATTCATTATTCACATATACGAGTACACAGCTGACGAGATGTCTGTATCACACTATCGTTCAACTATAACACAGCACAGCATGTGTAAGGGCAGAGCAGATACGAGTGATGGCGAAAATTGCACGCGATGGACAGCAGAAAAGAGCGACACAGACAGACTGCAGTACTGCGAGAGATTACAGCTAATGAGAAAACCAAGAAACTTACCGATTGATACAACGTTCAGGTGGCAAGAGGAAAGAGAGAAGAGAAACCAGCGTTAGAGTAGGCAGTTTAGGCACGAAGTGTACGCAACACTATCAGACATAGCCACAAGAAAATGCAGAGTGCAGAGAACTGCCTAGTAAATAGTTACTTGCTTCCCACAAGAACAACTGTTACGTTGTGTACACAACAGAAGAAGTAAAAAGCAATCAGACGCAAACCACTTAGGAGAGACGAATATTACAGCTTTCTGGGTTTTGCATCTAAGAGCACAAGTGTTTTATGTCCTCACTTTTTGCGCTGTTCCAACATCAATGTCCTGCGCCGCGCCTTGCTGCGCCGCATTAGACATTCTCCCGCAACAGCGAGTGGGCGTAGAGCAAACGCGAGCACGAACAATATGATTTTACAAAGCCCCCTGGAGCCGCTAATGAAACTGAGCTGGGATGACTAAATTAAACTAGCACAGCAGCATCAGATATCCACAACACTCTTTTCATCGTAATATCAACAGATCCTAGATGAAATATTCAAAAAACGTTAGCAAAACATGGTTTTCGAGATATCTGCGTATGGTTACCAACACAAAACACATACTGAGGATACAAAAGCAATGGGTTCCAGAAATTCCTATTAGTTGTTGCTATCTGATGTCCATGGAGTGGAGACTGATCAATTAACAGTCAGTCGAGAATAACCCATCCTTGAGTTTAATGGATAATACTTGCAATCGCACCAATCGCCGGTGAATCCATTTTAAACAACCTGATCCCTGGGGCTGTCAAAACCGCTTCTTTAAAACGTTGGAAAACGATAAAGCACCCGGTGGCTTTTGTTTTGTCCTGCCCTCCCCTTCGCAAAGCATAGTGCCGAACGGCTGAACAACTGACGGGGCACCACCTCCAATGTCCCTAACCTAAGGCCAGCCAACACGAGCAACAGTGACCTTTTTGGGCACCGTGTCTGCGCGGCACCCAGACCAGGGTACCGCGCCATGTGCTAACATCTCCTGCCGCCTGTGACCCTGTCGGTACCCGGGTGAGTCACCCGCGGGCCACCGGCCGGCGCTGCGGCGCGTGTCAGGCCGTTCCCACAGGTGTATCCGGCGCCCCCGCGTCTGACCAGTCGCCTCCACCGGTGGCCGACGCCCCCAGGTGTGTGCCGCGACACGTCAGGGGACCGGCCGCTCTGACCCGCCCCACTACACCCAGAGATAGACCGCGACAAGACTACGATGTCCGACAGGGACGCGACATGCGCCTCAGCTCAGCGGGGAGCATTGCAAGACCGGCGAAAAAGACCACATTTTTGATAAGTTGGCCTGACACCACTGTATGCTGCTGATTGCCGACCAGTTCTATGCACCGATTAGTGTCATCAATACATAAGCTTGGTGACCGAACGGCACCGAATGCGTAGATAGCGTTGAAAGTAGGCGTCTCGTGCAGTGTGTCTACGGTTCAGGACTCGTACTCTTTTTTTCAATGTTTTGAAGCACTGTGGAGACCTGATACATATACTAGATAATGGTAATTTAAAATGGTAGAACAATTTTGTAGCCATGTGAACGACTAAGTAGCGCATTTAGGTAACGTATTTCAATACGTTTCGAATGTGGAGCACAAGCCGTGGATACCACAGCATTAGTGTCCCTATTCTTTTCTAAATTTACTCTGACAATGTCCCACTCGCGATAACCTGCCTCAGCAACGAACGAAAACAAGTCGAGACGGAGCGGGGTGGCACGGTAACCGTCACCTCAAATACGCCACAGTATAAACTTATATAAACCTGGATACAGGTATTTCTTAGCGTCCGTGACGACAAGATTATCGAGTAATGCTCGCGAACCGTCCAATCATCACCCGACAGCAACTGCAGACACAAATAATAAATACCCTGTCCCTTCGATCACCCTGAGCCCGACCACGACAGGCGTGGAGACGGGTCGGGAGTCGACGACTCACGGACGGACAGAAGGGCACACGGACAGAGACAATGTTAGACGGACGGACGAGAAGACGGACAGGCAGACGGATCGCGGACCGAAGGGTGGATAGACCGATTACGGACGGACGGGTAGACGGACGGGCAGACGGACCAGAAGACGGATAGACAGGGTAGACAAGGTAGACGGACGGACGAGCGAACGGACATACAGAAAGAAGGACGGTCAGACAGACAGATAGACAGACTGCCAGACAGAAGGGCAGGAGACGTACCGTCTAGGAGCTCCTGCACAGCCTGACGCACGCCGCGGTCGAATGACAGACAGACAAACACACACAGACAGAGAGACAAACTGGCGGACAAACAAAAAGGACAGACAGACTGACGGATGGACAGGCTGACTGTTGGACTGACTGACAGCAGACGTACCGTCTAGGAGGTCCTGCACAGCCTGACGCACGCCGCGGTCGAATGCTCGCGCGTCGGCAGCCGTCTGAAAGGTGAGGCCGAATTTCTTCTCGCCAGTCTTCCAGTGGTGGAATGTCGGCATCACCTTGTGGTACACAAAGTCCTTCTTGATTGTGCAGTTTAGTACGGACTGTGGACACACAGGGGCGAGGGTGGTGTCAAAACAGGAGGGCTGGCCACCGGTTCTGGTAGGGGGCTGAGTGATTTTACCTCTACAGGAACACACGAGAACATCCTGATAGTTGACAGCTCTGTTACCAAGTAAAGTAATCTTGATGTTACAGACCACACTGGCATAAAGCGAGGAGCAGGGCAAGACTTTCGCTGGTAAGCAACACGCACGTTCGGAGAGCGATGCCACTAGAATGGCTAACGTCAGACTACACAGCACTGGGGGCGACCGAACACCTAGTGCTAGATGTGAGGCACCGTACAGCAAGTGTTTCAGCATTTACACACTGAAAACCCGCAAAAATAATTGCTTATGTACAAGATCGTATCAGGCCCATTTTCCTGGCAAAACACTGCCAATCAATCGGGGTAGGTAACTATGACCGTGTAACAGCAAACCTGTGCATCAGTGTAAATATGATGTTTTATACAAGCTTTTTACTGGAGCATGCATGTGTTCAGCAAGGTAATCATTTCGCGCTACTAGCGTTACATGATTAAGCCCAGAGCATATATGTCAGGGAATAACCATTAACCAGCAGACTAGAAAACAGGCTAGTTCGTCTTCTGCCGATTCCGGGCCAGGGATTTGTAGTTATTGAGGTACATACCAGCATAATCAATTTTTCCCCTAACATTGCACCAGCGTTTGGACCTCATCACTCTCCACCCTGTTCTCCTGCTCTGCCCCGTGCCCCTCTTCCCGTGACATGTACAGTAGATGCCTCAGCACCGAACCCCAGGACCTATACTGAACGGACCCCACCCCATGCATGTCCTGGCTATCTCGGCAGACCTGTAGACAGGCGGGCAGAGGACAGGTAGGACGGCAGGACACACAGCCAGGTAGGCGGCCGGGCGGGAGCCGGGCAGGGAGGCGCGGCGGCGGCCATCGATTTTCAGCCGGTGGGTGACGGGTCGGCTGCCATCTGGCGGCCGTCCCGGTAGGTGGCTCCACCTGTGCCGGGCCGGCGACCCTGGCAGCCAGCCCGGTATGGAGACGAGCCGACGAGCTACCGAGGCTCGGCAGCAGCCAACGTGACAGAGACGAGTCTCACAAATGCACCAAGAACGTCTGAATAAATGGAGGTGTTTATTGATGCATTTTCTATACATTAGACTGGCAAAAAAAAAAACGTTGAAACGAAAAAGTTTTAAAAAACCTTTCCGAATCCAAAACCAGGTCCGTGCCTTGTAACTGGTGAGGCGGTTGCTATTATCGTCATCATGACAGTCTCGCGCAATATTGTTGTGGCAATGTATGCGCACATTAGAACTCAAGACTCGAAGTTGTAACGAACTTCCCGAATAGGGAATCCCGATAAACATATAAATAATCAAATGCAATAACTAAATGCCAATGTCGAATGGCGACCTAAAAGGTCAAAGGTTATCACTAACCAGTAGCCTTGCGTGTGAGCACTAAGCAACTCAGCACGGGTTCTGGACTAAAAGGCCATCATACTGAAAATAAGTTATAGCCAGTTTCAACAAAGTAAATGTATGGGGAGTCGCAAAGAGGAGCGCGAGTGCAATGTTACTTCTAATGTAACGTAAACACATTGTTCGCTAAGACAGCAACAATTTTATTTTTGATATAGGTACATATTGCTATTACTGCGATGATTCAGGAAACAAGCAATGATCTTGACCTACGGTATACTAAAAGACCACGAAGGAACTTTTTACATTTGCATCATGCATCATAATGCATCATTGAATCACCGGCTGGAAATATTTAACGTGAAATACTCAGGACAATCGCATGCTTAACCAGCGCCCTGGTGGGGTCCGTTTAGGTATAACGCGACCTGGTGGGGGGGCTATTTTTGCCCCCTCTCCCTCGTATCTCCGAAACTAATGGACGGATCCGCAAAATTCAAACGGCGTTCGAAAGCCCTATCAAATTTGTCCAATTAAATCCAATTAAATTGAACTCGGGGTCACCGATGACGTCACAGGTCAGGTCAAAGATAAAAAGTTTTGCCGGTCACGGGTCTTCTATGGAATGCGCTATAACATCGAGTAAAACGCATTTTATCGAAAATCAGCGATAGGACGTCAGTTGCCTAGTACATATGTTGCTATTAGAGGTCATTGATAATACCAGGTCAGGTCACAGGTCAGGTCACCAAGGGTCAGCACATGAACCCAATTTTACTAGGGCTGTGTGATGCATGTTTTATGGCACATAATTTTTCATTTCAAACTCAATGGTGTTGGTTATAAGACCACCAGGAACGGTTTAGGTCACTTCCTGGTGGTTAGGTCAAAAAAGGTAAAAAGGTCAAATTTCAAAGTTGATATTTTTGCATAAAATGGGTATTGATTCGATACAGCTCGTCACGGGGAGTCTAACGGTGGCCTTTGTTCTGTGCTACCAAGTCTAGAATTGCTAAAAATTGAGTTTGAAAGCTTTACGTCATCAATCTTGAACAGTTTTTTCGCTATAACTTGGCCAAAAAGAGGTATCAATCTGAAATGTGGTATGTGAATAAAAGTCGGTAAGGGCTATCACATATATTCCGTTTTTTTTTCGAAAATCGAAAATTTGTTTGAATTTTTTGGCGATTGTAATGATTTTTGGGGGTGAAAAAATCCGAGATAGCAGTTATGTAGCCCTGCTAATTTTATACCTTTTATGTCTTACACGTTTTTCTGTATCTTCAAAGCTATAGGCCTGACAGTTCTTACCGCGAAACCTTTTTTTGGGGTCGAAAACGGCAGAACATTACTTCACTCTGACGTCATTTACAGCCAACCTTTCATAGCCTTTGGAAAAAAAATTAGTTACAAGCTACAATGTGTAAAATTGATGCCCGGGAGGGTACTGAAAGTTTGGTGACGATCGGCGCAGCGGTTCTGGAGATATATCTAAAAGTCTGGAGGGGGCGCAAGGCGCCACGTTACAGGGGCAAAAAATAGCCCCCCACCAGGGCGAGGGTGAATGAAAATGTTTTAATTAAAAACTAATAAACGCCTGCTAACTAATTGCTTGCCTCAACTGTTCGAAAAACCGGTCGGAATAACAAACATGACACTTTTTGGACAACGAAAGAGCGAGCGCAATATCGAGTCATGCGCTTACGCACGTGTAAAATGAGACTGCAACTGATCAGCTCGGTTCATATCTCTGTTCTTAACGACGTGCTGACTTTGAGCGCAATCGGTCCAGCCGTTCCAAACTGCAAAAACGACAACTGTACGTGCGCACGTGCGGAGTGAGATTCTGATATGTGCGGCCCACCCTTCTAGCTAGTACCATACGATTTACCGAATTTGAGAGTAATTGGTCTAACCGTTCTTGAGATGTAGAAACGGCACTCTGGACGTGCACAAATGAGGCTGCCCTTCTAGGCAGTCATCAGCGGTGTACTAAACTTAGCGCGTTCGACCCAGCCGTTCGTGAGAAGCAGAAACAGCCCCTGCACCTACGCACGTGCAGTAGCACCCCAACCAAAACACATGGAAGAGCATCGCCCGATAGGTTCCCGCTATATGTAATGTATACCCAGTTTGAGTGTGATCGGTCCAGTCACTGTGTAGTTACGTAAGCTGAACAATTTTTCCTCTGTGATTTGACAAGTGGCACATGTCACCTATACGAACCACGTATCAGTGTGTCCAAAATTGTAATGTTGCGGGGAAATTCACCCATAGTGAAAAGTGTAATGACATCCTAAAAATGTAAATAAAAACATCCACACGGCAGTCACGACTTATAATAACAACCTCGAACCCAAACGTCTAGGAGCAAGGGCAACACAAACCTCGCAAACCCTCACAACACGCTAAGACAATCATTCGAATAACCAAAATGTTCAAATATATGACCCGAACCTCATTTCCCTTCCATAATATAAACCATAATATAAACCATAATATAAACCTCATTTGACATCCCGAATATCAGAACGTCTTCAACGTTTTATCAGTATTTTTATGTTCCTACATCATTTTCTGGTGACATAAATAAAAAAACAGTGCTTAACCCGGCGGCCGCTGGGCCTCCGCGCCACCCGCCGGCCGCTGGGGGGGGGGCATATAGTTGCCCCCCCTTTACTTCTGCGACGATATCGTCGCAACGCGAAGAGATAGAGAAGCGAAACTTTGTACACATCTTCCTGAATACCTAGCCGAGGTTGTGTCCAAATTTGGTGTCGATCCCATTTGAAATGACGTCACAGTGACGTCATAAGTGAAATCATAGATTTGCGACTCTCATATTCCTCACGATACATCAGATATATGGGACCGAATATAAAGGGTCGATTATTGGTCAGAAACTAGATGGAAGTGTAGTTAGATGTTTTAGGATGACAGCAGGTGCTGTCTAGTTCATTTACAGTTGAGTTTCATGCTCAGCGTTATGAGAAACGGTCCATATCGGAAAACGACAAACTTAATGACGTCACTGTGACGTCATGACGTCACTGTGACGTCATCTTAGGTGCTACAACCACCAAACTTTCCTCAAACATTGCCTAGGTATTCATTTGAAGCTATGCCAAGTTTCACGTTCGTAGCTTATCAGGTTTCGGAGATTTTCACAAAACGTAAAGGGGGGCAACTTTATGCCCCCCCCCCCCCAGCGGCTCGTGGGTTAAAAAGGGTAGAAGTCAAGTTTTATGGAAATAACGACATCTTTTTCGACCTTTTTTCTACATCCTCCCCCTAACGTAAAATGAATTTAGCCACACTGCCACGTATTGAACTCATGATTGAAATGATGGGTCATCTTACGCAACAGGCCACCGATCGATAGAACGGTTGTCCTAGTGTTACGAAATCGTCACGGGGCTGGGTTGGGTCGCACATGCGAAGATTTCCCCTCATCCAAAGAAAGACTCGCTCGTTTGTTCGCTCAGCACGGGCAACGAAAAGTCAGATTTGGCAAGAGCGTTAAGCGCCTCGAACTACCTTGGAGCCACACTGTTCAACGTAGGCTGACCAGCGCGACAACCTGGGCTTAGAGCCAATTAACTACCCAACCGGGCCGCCTCATCCCGCAGTGCATCACCCCAGCGCTGCTGCGTATATCCCGACCCCAAACACCCGGCACCGGTCTCGGTGGTTCCCCAGTGGACCCGGTGGCCACGGCACCCCCGCTCTCCGTTCCGCCCCGGCTGGAGTGGCCGTCTCTGCCAGCACGGCGTCATCCGCCCGCCGCCGCTTTCAGTCGGCAAAGGTCAGCGGCGCTCCTTCCGACACACAGGGAGCACGTGGCGGGTGACCACAGCACCTGTACGGCTACGATATGTGCACCCTCCTGATCCGCCCGTCCCCGATCAGCAGACGTACCCGCGCTCGTCAGTAACTAATGACAGAAGTCAGGTGGAACTTGGAAGTAACGCCGAAACCGTCCATCATTACTTGCTGGTAAGTCAGTACCTCGTACAGTTCCTGTGCAATATAAGACTCAATCGCGCCTCTGGAGAGCAAACAGAGATTACATCTGTTGTATGAGTACAATAGTTTCGATTTTCAATATTCATGTTATATATAGATCAGCTAGTTTGAATAAAAAAAAAATGACTGTGGCCAGTGTGGGTTCCATAGGATGCATCTGGACACCCTTGGTAATGGGTCCGCTACGTACGAATCACAGCATACACAACAAATCGCTTTCCAGATAAGCACTCTGTCGTACTAAGATACAGAAAATGATGCAAAAAAAAAAAAACGGGCCAAGTTTGCCTGACAAATATCACATCGACAGCGTTTTCATAAGGAGCATCCTATCAAAATAAGCACCATTGTGAGCGAGCACGTGCAAAGTCTGACTTTAACTCTAACTGCTTGTGCAATGTGAATTGTGCAAGTCACTCATCGACCCAAGTCACTCATCGGCCTCAATGTGCAAGTCATACGCCGCTCCTAAAAGCGTAGCACTTTTTAGCGCAATTGGCTCATCCGTTCTGAAGACGAAGCAGCGGTCTCTGTGCGCAAGCAAGTCAGTAGCACCCTTTACTGTGATACATCAAAATGCGTCGCCCAATGCGCCCAATGGGTGTCCAGTGTCCACTGTGAGTACTGTCCAACGACGAGCCATGTTTCATGTAATTTCAAGTGTGATGAACAAAATGAGGAGAGCGGGGTTAATGGGCATATTGTGCCTGAGCACAATTCGTGCCTACTTATTGCCGACTTAGTTTGCGCTTTTTAAAAGCGTATTGATATTAAATATCAAAATATCAATACATATTAATGCGTTTGAAATTTGAATATCAAATTCTTAAGTTTTCAGTTTTTTTTCACGAATCGGCAAGCCCAAATCGTACGTTCACCATATGTTCTTGAGTCGTCAAGAAGGCATCGTGAAAAAACGAAGATAATTATTTGCAGGGTTTGCATGCACATCACAGGTATGGTTTAGGTGTAACCAGCCAGTACTACACGCGTGGACCGGCCCGCGCCGTTCTGTACTCACCACCCCGTCGTTGATGCGCTTGCCGAAGATGATGTACTCGGTCTTGGGTGATCGGCATTGACGTGTTCATAGCGAGGGTGTCGCTTTCGGACGGAGACCTTGGAGAGTCCCCAGCCGCCCATGGGCAGCCAGCCGCCCATACTGTCGTCCCGCATCACACCTGGGCCTGAACTAGTACCAAGCTGCCGCCTGAAACAGAACGAGGGGACACGTCAGTCAACCTGGGTCTGAACGAGTACCATCATCACCTGGGCCTGAACTAGTACCAAGCTGCCGCCGCTGAAACCAAACGGGGAGGGGGTATATCAGTCACCCTGGGCCTGAACGAGTACCATCATCACCTGGGCCTGAACTAGTACCAAGCTGCCGCCGCTGAAACCGAACGAGGAGGGGAAACGTCAGTCACCCTGGGCCTGAACTAGGACCATCATCACCTGGGCCTGAACTAGTACCAAGCTGCCGCCGCTGAAACCGAACGAGGGGAAACGTCAGTCACCCTGGACCTGAACGAGTACCAAGCTGCCGCCGCTGAAACCGAACGGGGAGGGGGCACGTCAGTCACCCTGGGTCTGAAAGTACCAAGCTGCCGCCGCTGAAACCGAACGAGGAGGGGAAACGTCAGTCACCCTGGGTCTGAACGAGTTCCATCATCACCTGGGCCTGGACTAGTACCAAGCTGCCGCCGCTGAAACCGAACGAGGAGGGGGAAACGTCAGTTCCCAGCGGGCATAGAGTGCTCTAGGGTACCGATTGCAGGGTGCTGGGGCACCAGCGAGCACAGCGCGCCCTGCTTCCATCACACAACCCAAAGACGCCCCAGACGACACAACAAACAAACCACACAGCAGAGAACGCAGGTGTCCACACAGCGGTCAAGAGTGAGAAATCTTAATTATAAAAAACGCCAAGATCATCAAAGACGCTTGTTGCGGCCTTCAGTGATCGAGAGTCTCGTAGGTCAGATGAATGAGGTTGGGACAGGCGAGTCCCTGGTTCCGAAGAACACCTCTAGGCTCTACGGTCACGTTTAGTCCATTCACACATCGGCCGCCACACCTATAAATTACCTTGGGTCGATCCACGGTCGAAGTTTCACAGTAGCAGCAGAAGCGCACAAGAACGATCGATCACAGACTACTTCTATCATCGAAAGGATCCTGCTAACTGTGGGAGACGAGCCCCGACACCAGCGGAGGCAGACGTGAAGCCGCTCTGGTTGGCGCGTAAGAGCACAACGAAAGCAAGCACCACTGTCCCTCCCGTCTCGTGCTGAGGCCCCGTAACCACAGTGATGCAAATGGGGTTCACGAGTGGCCATAAATACGAAAAAGGCCCAAAATTCAAGTTCACTTAATCGAATAAATCGTAATATGGTCAGTCAGGCAAATGTTTGGGTGTCTGAAAAAGTATGATTTTAAGTTTTTTGTCAAAACCGGCCTCGTGTAGGATTGTCAGAAGTCGAGACATTTTCGATGTCGTAAAAATGACTGTCAGGTACTTGAAATTCAAGTGCCGCTAGCGTGCGTGCATGTCATACAAACTGCAAAAATTATACATGAAAATGATCCCCGAAACCTGCTGCTTCTAATGCCACGTGATAAAAAGCCGTATCTATTTTTTTTTTGACGGTGAGCTAACTATTTGTAATCATGTTGCAACCGCAGTTTTTTAACAAAATATTTGCTTTCAATTCACCTACAGCACTTCACACAATGTGTGCCCGTTAGTGCACCATATCATAGCATTCCCTAATCATTTCTGAGTCGCATCGTGAAAGAATTAAGGCGCTAGCACAGGGCTGACCGGCGCTACAGAAGTTTTCGTCCGGTACAGTCGGGTGCCGCGGCGCAGCGGGCGGCCCGGGCGGCCGCGCCGCCCGGACGCCCGCGGCGGCACCCACTCGCCCACTGCGCGCCCACTGCGGCACCCGACCGCCCGGACAAAAACCTCTGTAGCGCCGGTCAGCCCTGTGCTAGCGCCTTAATTCTTTAACGATGCGACTCAGAAATGATTAGGGAAGGCTATGTTATGGTGGACTAACGGGCACACACTGTGTTAAGTGCTGTAGGTGAAACGAAAGCATTTTTTTTCTTAGTAAAAAACTGCGATTGCAACATGATGATAAATAGTCAGATTACCGCCAAAGCGAATGAGATACGGCTTTTTGTGACCCGGCATTAGAAGCAGAAGGCTTTGGGGATCATTCTCATGCATAATTTTTTCAATTTGTACGAAATGAACGCAAACCAGCGGCGTTTGAACTTGCGAGTGTCTGACCGTCATTTTACGACCTAGAAAATGTCACAACTTCTGACGATTATACACGAGGCAGGTTTTGACAAAAACATGAAAACCATGTGATTTCAGATGCCCCAAACATTGTCTACTCGGCCATATCGCAATTAACTCAATTTGGTAAACCTGACTTTTGGGTATTTATGGCCACTCGTGAACCCCATTTGCATCACTGTGGTAACGGACATCGCCGTGCCGTCACACCGTCACGTCTCTTACGTCACAGCGTCACGTCCCACACCGTCACGTCAGGGTTTCCGCCGGCCACGCCCACCGTCGGAGAGCGGCCAATGGGGCGGCCGCCATGGCGGAAATTCTGCCGCGGCAAGATTGAAATAGCCCAGCCAATTTCCGAATTACGGCGGCTTATGAGGCCGGCCGGGCGGCACACGGGCCGCCGGAGCGCCGCCCAGAATACCGCCCCCGCCCCAGCGCCGCCCCCGCCCCCGCACCATTTAGACAAGGCACACGGCCGACCGATATCCAATTCAGATATCCACTAGTCGGGGAAATGTGAATGTCAGGGGAGGACGCTCGACAAGGTCTGAAATCTGAATATTGATTGAGCACCTAAATAGCAAAATGATTTTGGTTTTGTGCAAACAATCTGTTTTGTTGTTGAGCCGCTCATCGAAATAAGTCGTCAATGAGACATCAGTAGATTCAAGCGTTAGCAAAGTATGTTTCAATAGCCCGTATCAGCAAAGTCTGTGTCCGTGTGAGAGTGAGGCTACGTTCTTCTTGCTCACTCTGATCATCGGCGACGAGAAGCTTTGCATAAACGCATGTTCACTGTTCAGCTTTGCCGCATTGGATGGCAACCGATCAGCCAGTTCCATCTGATGAGCCGCATGACTGAGACAGCTGCTTTAGTTACGCTGAGACTGAGAGCAGCCTTCACCCATGAAAAGGAAAAGACAGCATCACAAGGAACACAGAGCAGTTAGCGCTGACATACAAGCTCTGCCTAACATTGACATGACAGAAGACCGAGTGAGGAACTGAGTCTGGCTTCCATTGGCATCCTGAGCTTATCTGCATCTAAAGGACAATTCCAGAGGACAATGATGTCTTCATCTAGTAGTCACATTTGCTGATGACTCCGTGGTCAAAACTGGTACATGTGTGGCATATCATTTATTTATGAAGCTTTCAAAATCACTGACCCTTCTTTACCTGACCTTGACCTTAAGCACGGGTATAACTTCAGCACTTATGCATAGCTGTTTCAACTTTCAGCGCTTCGTCATTATCTAACACAAAAATTGGGCTCAACATCATTGACACTGCAATCGCTAGAGCCCAAAATGCGGAGAGGCCCTATTTGACCTTTGTTTTGACCTTAATCAGTCATGTGACCTAAAAATTTCAACTGCGTCTGGATGAGACCTTTCTAATTGACTCGCTGCGATGCTTATGGCTTGGTTTTGTAGATTTGAGGATGGTGCTGTAACTGCTATACGCCCCCCCCCCTCCCCCTCAGTCAATGACGTTTCATTGGCTAAAGGCTCAGACAGTCAGGTGCGGTTTGAAGTGTACAAGATAGCGGTCGCAGTGGAACCAAAAGCAAGGGATAAAGGACTAGTCCGAAGAAAGACTATCATCAGCGATTCCTTAGTGTAGAGTAGACCCTACTGCGGCGAGATAGGGTAGGGTGGATATGGGGCATACTGAACTGGAGAATATTACAAGTAAGCCGTATCGGCTTCGACTGAAGGCGACACTTCGCGGCTTACAAAGCTCAAACAATCTCACAAAGCGCAACTTCACAGACGGGATGACCAATGCCAGCTGTGAATCGGTTCCAGAGCGGCAGAGCAGGTTCCTCTCTGATCTACCGAGGTCGCTAAAACAGTGAGAACTGAGACTCCCGTCGGTCTACCTACTTGGCATGGCTGCAGCCACTGGATGTCGAGCTGGAGCTGGACAAGTGTCGCAGATGGCGCCGCACTTTGTCACTGATGTCCAGCATGGTGTCAGCACTGTGGGCCATGGCGCGTGGTGCGCACCATGGCGCACCACGCCCGCACACCTCACGCACACACACCAACGAGCCAGCGGCGGCAGCGGCGGCGGCGGCGGCAGCGGCGCCGCCCGTGCCGGCCGCCGCGCCGCTTCCGGGCCGACTGTTTCCGCGCGGGGGGCCGGCCGAGCGGGCGGCCGGCCGGCCGAGTATCGACCGGCGGCGCGCCGCCGCCGCCGCCGCCGCTGCCGCCAGCACCGCCGCCCATTCATGACGGCGGCCAGGTGGCGGACGACGCGCACCGGCCGCCCGCCGGTATGGCGGCCGGTCGGACCGGGAGACCGACGGGCCGAGACAGGGGGCCGTGGGTCGGACGGGTCACAGAGCCCGTGACGGACCAGACTCTCCGGCCCAGCGCTGACCCGCGCGGCGCCGCCCCCACCGCGCATACCGGGGCCGGCCGAGTGGGAATCGGGTCCGTACAGCCGAGGAATACGCCGCTAGAGACGGGAGAGCGGGATAACACCGCGGCGAGGATAACACAACAGGGATGACATGTACGGATAACACTACAAAGACGGAGAAGAGAGCTGGGGATAACACCGCTGACCAAACCAAGTGACCAGTTTACGCGCTGCTATCACCGCCGCCGCCACCGAGCAATTTCAGAGATCCTTGTGTTCGATAATTTGATGAGATTGCTCGAAAACCGCACAGCCCTGCAACGTTCCTACGCATCGTTTCTCCGCCAGGGTTGATAGAAAATGCCTTCCGAGATGGACACAGGATACTAGAAATATAATGTCGGACAAACCAGCCCAAAATGCAGCGTGCGACCACCATTGTCCCTCAATTTTGTGGCATCCTGCACCGTGGCGATGGAAGGCGATTTACGCTCTCTTTCCTCAGTTTCTGACATACATTACAAAAAAGATTTTCGCGCACGCGAAAAAAAAAATAGACAATGATCACCTGACATCAGATCACCAGGTCAGTCATACAGCCTTGACAACACATTCACGGTGTTTGATCAACAATATAGACCGATGCAGGTATGACGTTTTTCATCGAGGTCACGACCTTGACCTGACGTCGGATTTTCAAGTCCGCTCTTTCCGTGCCTTTGCGGCGGTCCGACCGCAACACGTCAAGGAAGAAAGGACGCTTTTATGGCGCAAATCCAACTCGGCTCTCGGGCCATGTAGGTAGTGACGGTAGTTAGAAACACCAGTCATTTATAAGGTCCTGCGTCAGCAAACCAAA